CACCCATTACCTTTTTCAGTCCTCACAATCACATGGTCATTTTTATTACCTTGTTTTTAAATATGGGAGGAACGAAGCTTAGGGAGGTTAAGTATCTTGTCTGCAATTACACAGCTAAACAGTGGCAAAACTGACATTTTTTTTTAAAGATTTATTTATTTATTTGACAGATAGAGATCACAAGTAGGCAGAGAGAGAGAGAGAGGAGGAGGAGGAAGCAGGCTCCCTGTCAAGCAGAGAGCCCAATGTGGGGCTCTATCCCAGGACCCTGGGATCATGACCCAAGCCGAAGGCAGTGGCTTAACCCACTGAGCCACCCAGGCACCCCCAAAACTGACATTTAGAAATCATAAGTCCAGTTCTTAATTATTGCTGTATGCATTTTCTAACTTCCCCCCAAAATCCTTAGTCAATTTCTCTAATATATTTTGTTGTAAAATTCAGCATTTCCCTCACTGATGGGAAGTAGTTCTTGCTCAGTTCTTGGGGCCATTTCTTCCCTTTATTTTTTGTTCTATTGATTCTTCCTTCTATCCCTGTGCCAGTAACCTACTGTTCAAGTGACTGATGCATTGTTCATACCTTCTCCTATCTGGTAGGCCAAGTCATCGCTAGATGCTCTTCTTTTTCAAAGTTTTCTGATCTTTTCTTCACTATTAATCCTTCCAGAAAAATTTTAGAATTATGTGGTTAAGTCCCCAAGAAATTCCACTGAGATTTTTGCTGACAATATTGGGGGCTAGAGATGCCTGGCATGCTGAAAGTAGAGTTCATCAGATTCCTCAATTCCTGTGTAAGGGCTTCTGCATGTTTTAGCCCTCCCTTCTTCTTGATCTACATTCTCCTTCCCCTCCCACACAGACACCCACAGTCACGTGCTTGAAATGCACCCTTGGATGTGTATGTGTTCTTGTAAAATAATACTGCTGTTCTGTGCAGAAGTTTTAAATTTACATGATAGTAATTGTCTAAGGATCTTTTTGTTTTATTTTGTTGCTCGAGACTGTGTTTAGGACCTCTTGGGGCTGCTCACAGGTCCACTGTGGAGAAGCACAGGACGCACCCAAGTATTTCACTGGTGACAGACACCTGGGATGTCCCCAGCTCCTCATTTTCACAATAGAGCTGCAGCAAATCTCCTTGCACGTGGTTTCTTATGCACCTGAGAACTCTCTGGAGTATAGAGCCAGCCCGGACTGGGGCTGCTGGCTGATGAGTCTGCATCCTTGACTCCCTCATTTCTGCCAGATTTCCTTCCAGAACATCCATACCAGTTTGTACTCCCAGAATGACGTAAGAGGATGTTCATTTCTCTGATTCTGCCCATCATTTACCGCTTTCTAACTCTCTAATTTTTGCCCCTGAAAAGCACAAAATAACATCTCATTGTTTTCATTTGCATTTTATTGATTACTGGGGAGTTTGAACATCTCTTCTTATTCTTGGGAATCATTTGCATTTCCCCAGCTGTAAGTTAACCTATTTACAGCCTTTGTCCAAGTTTGTAGTGGGTTTCCTGTCTTCTTTTGTGTTCTTTCATCTGTCACATATAGATATTCAATTCCTTGGAGGAGTAGGTGATAGGGAATCATACTTTATTTTCCTCCAAAAAGTGAGACAGTTTTCCTGACATCTACTGAATAATTCATCCTTTCCATATTGACCTGTGGTGTCATCTTCGTCCTATATCAAATTTCTATAGATGTATGGACCTATTTCTGAGCTCTCTACTCTATTCCTTTGGTTGATCTTTCTATTCCTGTAGCATCACCATTCTGGTTTTATGACTATGGCTTCATATTATATCATAAAATCTGGTTGAGCCAGTCCCCTCTTGTTGCTCTTTGTTTCCAAAATTAATTTAGGTATTCTAGCAAGAGTAAGTTTGTTCAATTTCTCAAAAAATTCTAATGGCATTTTCTGTGGTTAGAATTGCATTTAGTTGGGGCGCCTGGGTGGCTCAGTGGGTTAAAGCCTCTGCCTTCAACTCAGGTCATGATCTCAGAGTCCTGGGATCGAGCCCCACATCGGGCTCTCTGCTCAGCGGGGAGCTTGCTTCCCCCTCTCTCTCTGCCTGCCTCTCTGCCTACTTGTGATCTCTCTCTCTCTCTGTCAAATAAATAAAATCTTTAAAAAAAAAAAGAATTGCATTTAGTTTACAGTTAAATTTTGGGGAAATTGACTTTTTAAAGTAGTAAAAGTCCATAAAATTTGAAGTAAAATAAAAAGATGAGGTTTCTAATACAGTTCAGCTGCCCTTCACTCTATTCTTCCCTGACCCCGAGTCCCACTCCACAGAAGCCACCTCGCTTGTACCCTTAGCTCTTTCTTCTGGTATGTCTCCCTATATCTCTAAACAAAATCTTTACATTGTCATTTTTATGTGTTCTTTTTTTTTAGATATTATCTACTGACCCCCCCTTACTGCAGAAATAACATTTTACTCTCTTTTATAGCTGACATAGACATACAGAAACACACTCACATACACATCTTCCATCTTCCCAATATAGTATTATTACCATTTTTTAAAAAAGGGCACTCAGGCAGCAACAGGGTGGTGTAGTTATTTAAGCATCCAACTTTTAGTTTCAGCTCAGGTCATGACCTCAGGGTTGTGAACTGAGTCCTGTGTCCAGCTCCACGCTCTGCACAGAGTCTGCTTGAGATTCTCTCCCTCCTCCTCTGCCCCTCCCCCCACCATGTATATGTGCTTTCTCATAAATAAATAAAGAAATAAAGATGGGACGCCTGGGTGGCTCAGTTGGTTAAGCAGCTGCCTTCGGCTCGGGTCATGATCCCAGCGTCCTGGGATCGAGTCCCACATCGGGCTCCTTGCTCATCAGGGAGCCTGCTTCTCCCTCTGCCTCTGCCTGCCATTCTGTCTGCCTGTGCTTGCTCTCTCTCCCTCTCTCTCTCTCTGACAAATAAATAAATAAAATCTTTTAAAAAAAAATAAAAAAATAAAAAATAAAGAAATAAAGAAAATCTTTTAACAAAATTGACACTTCATGCTTTTCTTGTTATAACCATGCAAGATTATTCACAGCTGAACCATATAGTAGGCTATGTCCTTTCTTTGACAATTTTCTACTTTCCCTGGCATTAAAAATGACATTGCATTGGGGCACCTGGATGGTTCAGATGATTAAACATCTGCCTTCGGCTCAGGTCATGATCCTGGGATCCTGGGATCGAGCCCTGCATTGGGCTCCCTGCTCCATGGGAAGCCTGCTTCTCCCTTTCCCACTCCCCCAGCTTGTGTTCCCTCTTTCGCTGTGTCTCTCTTTGTCAAGTAAATAAAATATTTTAAAAAAATGACATTGGGTTGTTTTTCTATGTACCCATCTCATACTCCAAGTCTGCAGAATACCTCTAAGACTGCTCTCAATCTCGTCAAACACAGCTGTCTTCGTAACTCTGCCTCTGAAGCTTTCTATCCTCCTGCTCCAGCATAAGCCCATTACTCCTAAGACCTGCGGAAGCACTAGTATCCCAGACTTCCTCACGTGTCCACCCTTGGTCCCTAATGTAGGCTGGAGCTCCTGTTTCATTGACCTCTAATGTCTTCATTGTGGTGGAAATTGTACTGCTGGGGCTTACTGAGAAATGTATTTGCAAGGGAGATAAATTTTTGGAGACCATACGTGTTCAAATATGTATTCACTAACCTTTCAAATTTGTTATAGTTTGACTAGATTTTTAGGTTGGAAATAAGTTTTTCCTCTGAATTTGGAGGCATTTCTCCATTGTCTACTAGCTGCCAGTATATATTTATAAGTTTTTATTTTGTGCTTATATAGATTTTATTTAATTATTTATTTAAAGTATAATTGGTATGGAACAGGTTTCAGGTGAACACCATAATGATTTGATGTTTGTATATTTTTTTTTAAAGATTTTATTTATTCATTCGACAGAGAGAGATCACAAGTAGGCAGAGAGGCAGACAGAGAGAGAGAGAGGAGGAAGCAGGCTCCCCACCAAGGAGAGAGCCCGATGCGGGGCTCGATCCCAGGACCCTGGGATCATGACCTGAGCCGAAGGCAGAGGCTTTAACCCTCTGAGCCACCCAGGCACCCCTTGATGTTTGTATATTAACTACCAATATTTATGATGAGAAATCCAGTGTCATTCTGATTCTTGATTCTTTCTATGTGACCTGTTTTTTTTTAAAGATTTTATTTATTTATTTGACAGAGATCACAAGTAGACAGAGAGACAGGCAGAGAGAGGGAGGGGGAAGCAGGCTCCCCACTGAGCAGAGAGCCCGATCCCAGGACCCTGGGATCATGACCTGAGCTGAAGGCAGAGGCTTTAACCCACTGAGCCACCCAGGCACCCCTTTAGTTCTCTCTTTCTTATTCTACATCTTAGGAGATTTCTTCAACCTTATCAACCTTATCTTCCTTATCTTCCAACTTTCTCTCTTTTTATTCTTTTATATCAAATGAGTACTTCTTCCTTGCTGAACTTTTTTTTAAATCGACCTGTGTTATTTCATAAATATGACACCTCTCAGAGTGCTCTGGGAATTTTTATTTATTTATTTTTTTGTTTTGTTTTGTTTTGTAGTTGTATGTGTTTTTATTTTTGTAACACAAACAGGGAGAGAAGAGGCAAAGGGGCAGGGCCCAGCAATGTCCCCAGAACAGCTTCTGTGGCATACGTTCATATGTGTTTGTTTTCAAAAGGCAATCCTGAGGTCCCTATTTCAGGGAACTCCCAAGGCTGTCAATCTCAGTGCAAAGAGCTTAAAATAAAAACCTCCGGTAAACCTCCGGTCTGCTCACCACACAAGGATCCAACTCAAAATGCAAAACAAGCCTGCCTGGAAAGTGCCCGCCCTTAAAACAAGAGCGAGGGCTTTAAAGACACATTAAACACGGAATCTTCCAGGAATCAAGTCAGCTGCGGCTTCAGAAAAACCAAACACACCAAACATATCCAACTGCAGAACTGCTGGCTTAAAAAAAAAGGTGGGGGATACTCTAGTAAAAAGGATCACAGAATGACAGGCGGAGAGGGGGGCTCTTCCCCAACACCTGCTTCTTTTTGTTCTGAACACACTTGTGAACCAGAGAGTAGAAACACAGCCTTGGCGAGCAGTGTGGCAGCTCAGTCTCTCGAGAACGGAGGGCGGCTCACTGTTTGCCCACCTGCCTGCCTGGCTTCTTTTCCCGCTGACCTCTGCCTGGGATCCCACTGCGGCCCCGGCCACCAAACACACCTCGCCCAGCGCCCCCCATGCCTCGGCCCTTCTGCTGCTTCTGCTGCTGCAGGCCACCGCGGCCGCGGCCCTTGGCCACCACCTCCTCCTTGACCATGTCAATGATCTCGTCGGGGATGCGCAGGTACTTGATGGTGCTGCCGCGGATATAGCACTCTGGCATCCGCCAAAACTTGTCCCCGTCCCTGGATGTGCAGATCACCTCTCGAAGGTTAATGTTCATCCAGTTATCACAGCTCACCAGGTGCCCGTTGTATGTCTCCCCATTTTTTAGTTCCACCAACATGGGATGATTCTGAGCCGTCTTCAGCAGCGACAAGGGAAGCATGTTGTCGGCGGGGAGCGGGCTCACGGACCACTTCCCTGCTCTGGGAATATTAATCACAGTTGGGTTTTTTTTTTAATATTCTCTTGTCTGCATTGTCTAAATTTCACCTGAGCACCATCAAATGTCTGTTCCTCATCCGTCCATTTATTTTTAAGAGCAAGGTACAGAAAAGGTAATTGGAAACTCTGCATGGTGAGGCTCATTATCTGTAGTCTCACTGTCAGTGAGTGACTCTGTCATTTAGTTGAATGACCCACACACACTAGTATCTGTACACCTTTTCATGAATGTGGTCAGTTTCTCCACAGAGAATCCTCTGATTCCAGACTGGAGATTAGTAAGAAGCAATAATCATCCTGGTGGTCAGTGTTCCTGAATCCAAGAGAGGGAAGGAGGTGGGTCTTGAGTGACCGGACCTCTGTGCTCTCTTCCTCCTTTTGGTCAAGTAACAAAATATAGCTATGCCTGGTTTGCCTGGTCCAGAGCCTCTTCATTCTTTCCAGGTAATGAACCTCCCATCTCCTACTTGGAGAAATTACCTGCTTTTTCAGGCTTGGAGAGAGAACTACTTCTTACACAAACTTTCAGCTAATGCTCCTGTGTTTTGCACATTAGTTTCACTCCCACCCTGAGGGGTACTCAATCTTCTTTCTACTGTAGCTTTCTATAGTCATTCTTCAAAGTGAGTGTACTGTGTCTTCCTTCTTGGGGCCTTATTTCTCCAGAGGACTTAGTAGAAAAGAAACAGCTGAAACCAAAATCAGTAATCATTAATCCATCTGCTTTCCATCTTTCAAAATGGGGTTGACATCATTTATATGTTTTTCCTCCTATTGTTCCCTTTGATCTGTGGGCTTATCATATTTGTAGTCTTTGACTCTGACTCTAACGGGGTAACAGGAGAGACCAAACACACATTTAGATACAGTTGGCATGATTAATCAAATAGTTGTGACTGAGTTTTTTACTCTATTTTTTAAAATGTGGTAAAATATACATAAAACTTATCATTTTTACCATTTTTAACTGTAATTCAGTGGCATTAAGTATATTTACAATGTTGTTCAACCATCACCACTATTCATTTCCAGAACTTTTATCATTCCAAACAGAAACTTTGTACCCATTAAACAACAACTTTCCATGTCCACTTCCACCTCCTGATCCCCATAACCTCTATTCTATCTTCTGTTTCTGTGAAATTGCCTATTCTAGGCAGTTAATATAAGTGGAATCATACAATATTTGTCTTTTTTGTTTCTGACTTATTTCACTTTGCATACTGTTTTCAGGGTTCATTCATGTTGTAGCATGTGTCAGAATTTCACTCTTTTTCAAGGCTAAATATTAGCCCATTCTATGTGTACAACACATTTTGTTTAACTCTACATCTCTCTATTATTACCGAGTTCCATATGTTGATCTTCTATCTGGCCCTATTGCTAAATTCTATTTATCTCTAGAAACTTGCTAAATCTGTGGGGTTTACCTGTAGATACTTATACCATCAATAAATAATGATAATTTTGTCTCTTCCCTTCTGTATTAATTTCCTATTGCTGCTGTAACAAAGTACTACAGATTAAGTGTTCAGAGCAATACAAACTTATTACCTTATTACAACTGCTCAGAAATCCATGGGGTGCCTGCATGGCTGAGTCGTTAGGCATTTGCCTTTGGCTCAGGGTCCTGGGATCGAGCCCCCATTGGGCTCCCTGTTCAGCGGGAAGCCTGCTTCTCCCTCTCCCACTCCTCCTTCTTGTGTTCCCTCTCTTATTGTCTCCCTCTGTCAAATAAATAAATAAATAATCTTTTTAAAAAAAGGGGTGCCTGGGTGGCTCAGTGGGTTAAGCCTCTGGCTTTGGCTCAGGTCATGATCTCGGGGTCCTGGGATCGAGTCCTACATTGGGCTCTCTGCTCAGCAGGGATCCTGCTTCCCCCTCTCTCTCTACCTGCCTCTCTGCCTACTTGTGATCTCTCTTTGTGTCAAATAAATAAGTAAAAATACTTTTTTTAAATCTTTAAAAAAAAAAAAATCCAAAATTATTCTCACTGGGCTAAAATCAAAGTGCTGGCAAACCTACATTCTTTTCTAGGGTCTCTAAGAGAGAACCCATTTCCTTGCCTTTTAAGCTTTCTAGTGGCTGCCTGCATTCCTCGGCTGGTGGTCGCTTTCATCTCCAAAATCAACAAGCCTTTCTCACATACCATCACTCTGACCCCCCCCCCTTTCTTTGACTTGTAAGTACTCTTGTAATTACAAAATAATCCAGGATAGTTTCATCTCAAAATCCTCAGGTAATCACGTCTGCGAAGTCCCCTTTGGCATGAAAGGTAACCGTCAGGAATTCTGGGGATTAGTGCATGGACATCTTTTGGGGCTATAATTCTGTCTACCACATCTTCAAATCCTTAACTACTTCTTCTTCTTCTTCTTCTTCTTCTTCTTCTTCAGAGAGAGGGGGTGGGGAGGAGCAGAGGGAGGAGAGAAGGATTCTTAAGCAGACTTCATGCACACCCTGGAACCTGATGGGGGCCTTGATCTCATGACCCTGAGATCATGACCTGAGCCAAAAATCAAGAGTTGGACACCCAGGGCACCTGGGTGACTGACTGAGTCAGGCGGGGAGCCTGCTTTTCCCTCTCTCTCTCTGCCTGCTGCTCTGCCTACTTGTGTTCTCTATTTCTCTGTCAAATAAATAAATAAATAAATAAATAAAATCAATCTTAAAAAAAAAGAGTTGGATGCCCAACTGACTGAGCCACCCAGGTGCCCCCTACACTTCTAATTTTTAAATTTGCCCTGTTTTGTTGGTGATGACATAAATGTTGAACAACAATAGCATTAGTAGTTATCCTTGTTTTATTCCTGATCTTAAAGGGAATGTTACCTAAAGTTTCTCTGTTAAATATTATGTTTATACATAATAGATGTTTGATGGATAATCAAATTTACAGAAGTTCTGTTCTATATTCTCTGGGAATTCTTCTGATAAATAGGTACTGAAGTTTATCAAATTATTTTCTGCATTATTTAGATAATCCCATGTTTTATTTTCTTTAGTTTGTTAATGAATTACCTTGCTAGATTTTCTGATGTCAAATCATCTTTACTTACATTCCTATTTGATCATGATGTATTATTACTTTATATATAATTGGATTCAATTAGTTAATATTTTATCTAAGAGTTTCACATCTATGTTCGTAAGTGACATAAATAAGGGTTTTTTGTTTGTTTTTGCTTCTGTTTTATTGTCATCATCTGGGCTTAGTGTGGACACCTGGCTGGCTCAGTCAGTGGAACATGCAACTCTTGATCTCAGGGTCATGAGTTTGAGCCCCACATTGAGTGTAGAGTTTACTTAAAAAAACAAACAAACAAAAAACCCATACCCACATAGTGATATTTAACTCTGAAAGGAGGTAAGAAGCTTTCAGTCTGTTTTCTAATTTCTGGAACAACCTGTTTCTAGGATTTTATCCTATTTTTTTTTTTTAAGATTTTATTTATTTATTTGACAGAGAGAGACACAGCGAGAGAGGGAACACAAGCAGGGGAAGTGGGAGAGGGAGAATCAGGCTTCCCGCCAAGCAGGGAGCCCGATGCAAGACTCCATCCCAGGACCCTAGGATCATGACCTGAGCCAAAGGCAGAGGCTCAATGACTGTATATTTTGATGTATATTGGTTTTTTTATTCCAGATCCAAAGATCTTTTTCATTTTAGATCATTTCATTCTAGATCCAAAGATCTATCCACTTGCATTGCATTGAAGTATTTCATAAATATGCCTTATAATTTCCCTTTGACCCAAGAGGTATTTAGTAGCATAAATTTTAGTTTTCAGACATGAGCACCTTTTATGGTATCTTTTTGCTGATTTTCATTTTATTGCATTCTAGCCAGAAAGCCTAGTATATGTAATATCGAAGTTTTCTTAGAGACATGATACACGATTAATGTATTCAATGTTCCTAATGTGCTTAAAAACAATACATACTGGGTGGCTCGGTTGGTTGAGACTCCAACTCTCGATTTTTAGCTCAGATCATGATCTTGTGGGTGTGAGACTGAACCCGAAGCCGGGCTCTGCATGCAGCAGAATCTCCTTGAGATTCTCTCTCTCTCCCCCCCTCTGCCCCTCCCCACTACTCTTGAAATAAATAAATAAATAAATAAATAAAAATATTTTAAAACAACAATGTATACTTTTGGGGGGTTATTTTGGGAAGAGGCTGTGCATTAATGCACACATTACCACACTTATTTATTCATTTAACCCATGTAGTAGTTTAAGTTGATTAATTATGTTATTCAAATCATTTGTATCTTTGCTTATTCTTGTCTTTTGAGTTAAAAGTTTCTAAGTGGTGATGTATTTATTTGTGATTGTAGTTCTGCCAGTTATTACTTTATAGAATTTGAGACTATATAATTAGGCATGTGTATGTTAGTAGTTATTGTACCTTCTGGATCTGTTATCCCTTCCTGTTCTTCTTTGCCTCTTATGATCATTTTTTCCCTCGAATTCTGTTTTGTCTATTCTAACGTTAAAATTGTTACCATGGCTTCCCTTTGGTTCATATTTCCATGGTTAACTTTTCCTAATCCTCTATTTTTTTTTTTTAAAGATTTTATTTATTTATTTGACAGACAGAGATCACAAGTAGGCAGAGAGGCAGGCAGAGAGAGAGAGGAAGGGAAGCAGGCTTCCTGCTGAGCAGAGAGCCCGACGCGGGACTCGACCCCAGGACCCCGGCATCACGACCCGAGCTGAAGGCAGCGGCTTAACCCACTGAGCCACCCAGGTGCCCCCTTAATCCTCTATTTTTAATTTTACTCTATCATTTTTGTTTTTTCAAAAAAAAAGTCCTTTGTAGATAACATTTGCTTGATTTGTTTTTCAATACAGCTAGAGTCTCTTTTGATAGATAAGTCCAATACATTTATATTTATTGTAATTATTCCTGCCTCTTAATTTGTGTTTTCTTCTTATCATATTTCTTTCTTTCTTCTTTTTTCATGT